GCACTCTCTGGAAATGTTTGGCATTTCTGATCATGACTTGATATATACGAGGGAAATAGCTCACGAGGAGCAGGTTGAGAGTGAAGAAGCCCATCAGTACATTCAACGGAGGGTACAGAAAGCCCATGAGCTAGTTCAGTTAGAGTCTCAGCTTAGAGACCAGAGGATGGAGGGGATCAGAAATGCTTGTGAAGAGATGTGGCAAAGACCACCAGAACTGGTTTCTGAGCCAAAGAAGTTGTCTCCGGGGTTGAACAACATAAATCACTTTGTTTCACCACCAGTAGCTGATAAACATGAAAATGACAAGGTTATCGATCTTACAGAGAACGAGGAGGCACAGGTTCTTAACGTCAGCTCCAAAATGACAAGTCTGACTATTGATGACTTGGATGAAGAGAAACTGGCACAAGATGTGTCTAGCATGGATACAGAGCTGCTTAATACCAGCAAGACAGTGAAACAATCCAATATACAAGAATCTGAGCAAAGCATTATACCATCACCACCACCATCATGTGGACTTCATCCACTTGAAAAAGAGAGTCAGAGTCTTGAACAGAATTGGTGTTCCCATGTAAATTCAGATATCTTGACTGAGGCAGGGAATGGACTGTCTGGGCATCATCAGCATTCCTCTAATGAGTCTGGTATGGCTGACGATCCCAAAAGGTTAAGAGATGCAGAAATGTCAGATCAGGTACTTGACCCACATACTGCCTTAGGGACAGAGAATAATGACGTTCCTGAGCTAGCTTGGGCTGCCGCAGTGCCAAGTTTATCAAATGTTATGCCAGAAATCCATGCTGGGCTCCAGAAGTCTCATGTGCTGGAAACCAGCTTGGAGGATATGTCTGTGCCTTCTCTCCAGGATCAAGTTGACTTCAATCTGGTCTTGGAAGAGTCTGAAGATGGATGGCAAGATGCCTCAAATAGAGAAAGATCAGTGGAGCACCCAGAAAAGGAGGGCTTCCAACTGAAAGCAGAAAGTTTTTATAAATCTCCAACAAAAAAATCTCCAACAAAAACTTGGCTAAGTGAGAATGGTAACTGTGGAAAACCCTGTCACACAGCTGAAGAAGAGCCAAATAACTCCCTGCAAGGGAGTGAAGCATCAGAGGAAAGCAGTTGTGCCTTTGCTTTTGGTAGAAAGAAATGCTTAAAAAGAATTGTTTCAGACAGTGAGGATGAAGACCATTCCATTATGACCTTGGAGGAAAACCAGTCTGAAAAAAGGCCCTCTCCCTTGAATAGCCCTCTGCATCAGCTTCTGGAAGGAATTAGTGCATCCACTCCTAAATGTGACAGAAGTATAGCAAAAGCCATCTTTTCTCCCCAACTAACTAACAGTGGTAACAGGTCGACCGCTTCCAGGCTATCTCTAATCAACAAGGTGGTAGACGAGGTTGAGGATATTGGAGAAATCATGGGAACCACTGATGAGGAAGATGATGACAGTGATGAGGAGCAAGACGACCTTGTGGAAGAAGAAGCTGAAGAGTGTAGTGGGGAATCTGCTGAGCCTGAAGAAGAACCTGCTGGAGAAACACTTGATACAGCTGAAGAATCCTTCAATCTAGACAGTATGCCCTCTGAGCAGTCTGAAGCAGATGAGACAGAGTCATCTCAGGAGGAATCCACTGGTGATGCTGAGCTTCAGTCAGGTGAGCAGATAGACTACTTCACCCAGGAAAGCATTTCTGAAAAAGAGGTTGGTCAGAGTTCCTCTCCTGCTGTATGCGATTACAATACCTTGGTAGACAGTGGGAAGAAACTTAAGAACGACGGAAAACTACAGGAGGCGTTGAACTGTTTCCTGCAAGCACTTGACATAAAAAGTGGAGATCCTGAAGTTATGCTTATGACTTTAAACTTGTATAGACAGTTAGCCCAGAAATGAAATATGTATACACTTATTAAGTACAGTCTTACTTCTTCTCATTAAATGTTTGTCTGAACTACATCACTATCATTTTTTTGAACTTGCTTAAGACTGATGGCTGCAATATACACTTCCTTCATGAAGAAACAGTCTAAGAATCTAGTTGTTAAGGTGTTGGGTGCTGGGGAAGGGACTTCACTGTGGCCTCAGTTCACAAAGATGAAAACAGTTCATGCTCCTGCCTGATTAATAAAAAAAGTCGTCTTTACGTCTAAACCCCTCTCCAAGCTTGCATTCCTGGCTTCATCTTTCTGCCCTTCAGATTCTGTCACTGCCTCTCTCTTGAGAGAGAGGTTCGATGGCAGCTGCTAGCAGTCTAAACTCAAGCTGCTGTAGTTCCTCCCTCCTTGACTTGAAATAAGCAGATTTGTCTCCCTGAATGTCACCTGCCATTTGGGTGAGCTGGATGCTGGTGCAAAGGAGAGAACAGAGCTACTGCAACCAGGTTTTAAGTTGGTCTGAGAATGTATTTGCTGTGAAGGAGAGGGGAAGGAAAAAAAAAAAAAAAAGTTGGTTGCTGCTATAAATCCTCCAAGCAATGGAGGCCAGCACACCATCTGCCTGGTGCCAGGCCTAACACCGAATGTGGGACTGCAGAAACCCTTCTGCTCTAATCCCTGCCAGACTGCGGTTGCTGTAGAAGCGGTATGTAGGTGGGGGGTTGCAGAAGGACTGGAATAACGATTAGATGTTGACCTCTGCAAGGTGCTGAACACCTCAAACCTTTTGGTATTGCTGGAGGAGTCAAGGACTTCAAAGGAGTCTCTAGTCTGACCTTGTTTGGGCCCAACCCCCCCATCTATATTTCCCTCCGAGTAGTTCAGTCGAAGCCTGATCTTGCACAAAGGCAACAGGAGGGGGAAATACTGCTTTTAAAGTTTTGAGCCGCTTTTCCTCTAGTAAGGAAGTCCTCTAACCCTCTTCCCACATATGGTTTAGCTGTGGTAGATTAAATATTTCTGGTACTGTAGGCACAATGAAGCTATGAAGTGGGTTCGTAGTTCAGAACCATGCAAGCTTAAAATCAGAAGAACCTTGTGCTGTCCTTTAGCAATGCTCTGCTTATCTGACTTGCCCCTCTGCCGCCACCACACTGAGAAACTTGGCCAGGGTATGCTCATCACTATGATCGTCTTCTGTACGGCCTTTCCTTGTGACAATATGGCCGTGAATTTTGATGCTTCCTCATGCCACATGCATGTTTAGTACCTAGCGAATTTGCCTTCTGTATTACAGTATGATAGCAAGGGACACTTTCACACCTTGCTAAGTTTTACAGTTTTTGGAGAAGAAACCGGTCTGCTGAATTTGAATCCTTTGTACTAGGAGACATGACAAACACAAACAATGATCCTGTTGGCACAGGAGATGTGCCAGTGTGCTTTTGCCAAGAGCTAGAACAAAGCTCTGGTAGCCTGGAAACAAGTAGTTTATTAATAGAGTATTCCTTAAATGAGGCCACATCTGCTCTTGTACTGTAGAAAGGCCTGTCTGCCTTTCATAACGAAATATTAATGCACTAGAGCTTTGCAATCATTCATTGGCCTCTCTGAGCATTCCGTTCTCTAAACAAAACAAACACCCCAAAAAGGGAGGGAGGAGAAGACCTGCCCTGGTTTTGGTCTCGCCTCCTCCTTGTAAATGATCTTGGGAAAGGCCTGTTGTTCTCTTTGATGTTTTCTCTCATCTCTGAGCCCTCTGACACCGAACGACGCTCGCCTAGAAACAAAGCTGGTGTGTTTTTAGAGATGTGCCTAGTTTGAGTGCTGTCTTTCAGCAGGCAGGGGATCACTGCACTCAGGAAGGGGATCACTGCACTGGGATATTTATCGCTAAGATCCAAGAAGTAGGAGACGTGATGTGCTGTCTCACTCACATCAATCATGCTATCCTTCAGGTAGTCTTACCAGAAGGGTGAGGCACAGCCTGCTGGGCTGGAGACATGTAGAATCATAGAATCCTTAAGGTTGGAAAAGACCTGTAAGATCATCGAGTCCAACCGTCAACACCACCATGCCCACTAAACCATGTCCCTAAGCCCCTCATCTACATGTCTTTTAAATACTTCCAGGGATGGTGACTCCATCACTTCCCT